CAGATTAGGTTTTTGATCCCCTCTCGAATTCTTTATTCTTCATCGATCTCGATTTCTATAATCGATTCTCATATTCTCTGAATCTATCGATTCATAACCCTAATTCATTCGCAAAACTTTCTTGCAATGAATTCGAATATCATACTCCCTTTAAATCCTACTGAGGATCCCTCATCTCCATGTTATTTGCATCTGAGTGATCATGATGGTCTTCGAATAATCTCTGAGACGCTCGATGGTGAGAACTTCAATGCTTGCTTGAAGGAAATATGTCACGATGGCCTTCAGTGTGAAGAACAAGATGATGTTTCTTGATGATTCAATTACTCAACCGACTCTAGATAATGTTGTTGCTTACTATGTCTGGTATCGTATACATGCTCTAATTCTTTATTGGCTGATTTACTCAATTGCTCCTGAAATCCGTTTCACTTTCTTATATTTTACCTTTGCTAAAGATTTTTGGGACGAAATCCAACTTAGGTATGGTAAAAACTGATGGTCCTAGAGTTTTTTATCTAGAAAAAACCCTAGGTAATAATTCTTAGGGCACTAAAACCATTACTACTTACTATAACTTGTTCAAAGGTCTTTGGGATGAGTATGCCAATTTTAAAACACTTCCTTCTTATTCTTGTGGTATCTGCACCTGTAAACTAAATGAAAAGTATCAACTTTTGCTTCAGAATGAATCTGTTCAGAAGTTTCTAGTTGGTTTAAATGAGTCCTACTCCAATTTAAGGAATCAAATTCTTCTTCAAACACCTTTTCATAGCCTCTCTGTTGTTTACTCTTTCTTTCTACAAAAAAAAAGTCTCAAAGAACACTTCAACATCCCCTTAATTATGTTCCATTTTCTTCTGATAATTTCAACACTTATGATCCTCCTACTGCTGATTCTGTTGCGTTCTTAGTAAAAAAATTCTAACTACAAAAAAGAAATCCATCATCTACAATCACTGTGATTATGAAGCACATTATGCTGACAAGTGCTTTCAAGTCATTGACTACCCTCCTAACTGGAAAGGACCGAAAGGGCAAAGAATTGCACCTGGTTTCAATTTGCCTTCAAATTCTACAAGGAATACTCATGCTCATCTAGCCAATACATCTACTGAATCTCCTTCCATTGACTTGGACCTCTGTGATTCCTACTACTACAACAAATTTATTGAGTTCATGAAAACTCAGAATGATAAATCTGCTTCTGCTAATGTTGTTATGACTGTCTCACGACATGACCAGTCTTCTAATGCTTCTTTTTTCCTAGGTAATCATTTTGCTTCCTTATATAATGTTAAATCTTCTATTTGGATCCTTGACACTGGAGCTTCTGATCACATGACTCACAATTTCAATTTATACACTTCCTAACCCAAACCTATTTCTATCAATATTCAACAATTACCTTCTAGTTCTTTCATAAATGCTACTCATATAGGTGATATTAAAATCAATAATAATTCTACTCTTCACAATGTATTATATGTTCTCCAGTTTAGTTTTAATCTTATATCTATATCTAGTCTTGTTTTACATGAGAATACTTCTGTTCATTTTACTTCTAACCATGCTACTTTGAAGGATCTGCTCACCAACCAAATGACTAGCTATGTTGATCTTCAAAGTGGACTTTATCTATACAACGCTTCTAGACCTTTCTTTTCAACAAATAAACTATATGTTGCTAATACTACTAATGTTCAATCTTTAGATAATAAATATGATGTTTGGCACTATAGACTAGGTCATTTACCTTTCAACAAATTGAAATCCATTGTTGATTGTACTGTTCCACATCATGTGAATAAAACTATTTTTTTTGTGATATATGTCATTTTGCTAAACAGAAACGTTTACCCTTTTCTGATAGCACTTCTCATGCTTCTCATGCTTTTGATCTTGTTCATATGGATGTTTGGGGCCCTTTTAGGGTTCCATCTTTTTCTGGTTTTAGATTTTTTTTAACCATTGTTGATGATCATACTAGATGTACTTGAGTTTTTATGATGACAACCAAATCTGAAGTTAAGTTCGTGTGATGAATTTTTATAATCTCATTAGTACTCAATTTCATGTCAAAATAAAAATTATTCGCACTGAGAATGGTACTGAATTTATATTTCCAAAATTTTATAATACTCATGGCATTATTCATTAACTTTCTTGTGTTGAAACTCCTCAACAAAATGCTAGGGTTGAAAGGAAACATCAACACATTCTTCAGGTTGCTAGATCTCTTTTATTTCAATCATGTTTGTCTCTCACTTTTTGCCTCATTGTATTCTCACTGTTGTTCATATCATAAACAGACTTCCTACAACTATTCTTAATAATATATCTCCTTATGAGCTATTATATAATAAACTCCCTCATTATTCTCATTTAAGAGTTTTTGGATCTCTTGTTTATGCTTCTACTTTAACTGCTGATATATCAAAGTTTGATAAAAGAGCTGTCAAATGTGTTTTTGCTGGTTATCCTTTAGGTTCTAAAGGATATAAACTGTATGAGATTGTTAATCATAAATTTCTTATCCCCAGAAATGTTAAATTTTATGAAATGATTTTTCCTTACAAAGATAATTCCGATTCATCTAACTCCACTCATTCTTATCCTACACCCTTCAGTTTTTCTACTAATGGTGATTCTTCATATGATTATAACATAAATTCAAATACTTTTACAAATTATTTACAAAACCAAATTAATGATGAAATCAATCTTATGAATATGCATGATTCTGCTAATACCCATGATTTTAGCACTTTACAGACTACCCTCTCTATTCCAGAAGATCAATATAACAGAAAATCAACAAGAGTAAGATCTTTACCTATTCATCTTCAAGACTATACTTATGAATTACCTAATTTTATCACCATCTTCTTCTTCTTCTTGTAATTTTGTTAGATATCCTATTCAAAACCATATAACTTATAATAGATTGAGGATTTCCCATTCTTGTTTTATTGCTGCTCTTTCCAAAATCACTGAACCTAAAACCTATAAACCAGCTGCAAAATTTCCTGAATGGCAGAATGCCATGATAACTAAAATTCAAGCTCTTGAGAAAAATAAAACTTGGATTTTAGTTAATCCCCCTTCTAATCAAAATATCATAGGCTCTAAATGGGTTTTTAAAACATGATGGTTCTTTAGACATATATAAAGCAAGATTAGTTGCTAAAGGTTATACTCAAGAAGAAGGTTTTGATTATTTTGATACTTTTTCTCTTGTTGTAAAATTAACCAATGTTAGAATAATTTTAGCTATTGCTAGTGCTAAAAACTAGTTCTTACATCAATTAGATATAAACAATGCTTTTTTACATGGTGATTTAAAAGATGATATTTTTATGCAGCCTCCTCCAGGATATTCACCTCCTACTGATAACAGGGTTTATAAGCTTGTCTAAAGCTTTTATGGTCTCAAGCAGGCTTCTAGACAATGGTTATGTAAACTCTCTGATTCCCTAAAATTATTTGGCTATAAACAATCTTAAGCTGATTTTTCATTATTTACTAAATCTGATAACACCTCTTTCACTACTCTTCTCATATATGTAGATGACATTATTCTTGCTGGAAATATTGCATGGAAGAAATCACTGCAGTAAAAACTTTCTTAAGTAATAAATTTAGTATTAAAGATATTGGTGAATTGAAATATATCTTGGGTATTGAAGTTGCTAGATCTAATAAAGGTTTAAATCTTTGTAGAGAAAGTATACTCTTGATATTCTTAATAAATATGGTCATTTACATTCTAAACCTTATACTACTCCAATGGACTCGAAACAAAAAAAATTCTAAAAGGGATGGTACTGTTTTAGATAATCCTAAAACATACAGAACCTTAATTGGCAAACTGTTTTACTTAACTGTTACAAGGTTTGACATTGCTTACGGTGTTCAGGTTCTTAGTCAATTTCTTTCTTCTCCCACTGACATTCATATGAGTGTAGTTCATAGGATTCTAATGTATCTTAAGAATTCTCCAGGAAAAGGTCTTTTCTATCCATCTTTCTGATTTCTGTATTCAAGGTTATACTGATTCTGAATGGGATGCATGTATATATACTAAGAGAAGTGTTTTTGGTTATGCTTTTTATCTCGGTAATTCTTTAATTTCATGGAAATCTAAAAAACAACAGGGGGTAAGTAGATCTTCTACTGAAGCTGAGTATAGAGCTGCTGCCAATGTAGTTTGTGAAGCTCAATGGTTATATTATATTCTTCATGACTTGCATATACAATTTTCTTTACCCATTAGTATTTTTACTGATAATAAATCTACTTATCATTTAGCTCATAATCCTATTCAACATCAAAGAACAAACATATAGAATTAGACTGTCACTTAATTAGAGAAAAAATAAATTGTGGTTTAATATCTTTGGTCCATACTCCATATATTAAGAATAATTTTCAACTTGCAGATATCTACACCAAACCACTTGGGAATCCATTATTCAATCAATTTGTAGTCAAGATGAACATGATGGACATCCATGCTCCTCTTGAGGGGGCGTACCAAGAATAGTCAATCTGGGCTATTTTAATTCTTAGTCTTTTGGACCTATTATTGGGCCTTAGTTATATTTTGTATTAGGTATATAAATTTCATATGCATTGTAAATCGGGGTTAAACAATTATTCTCCTATTTCATTCTTCCGCAACCAAGAGCTCAACAATAAATACTCGTACAAAAAAGAGGAACATTTGTATTACATCAAAATGAAAATGTAACATCTCTCGTTTTCTGTCATGAGATAATCAAATAAACAACCTCCTTGCATTTTTATTTATGTAAAAAGCATGTACTTGGTATATAAGAGTGTAAGACCAACACAATATACAAACATTATATAAATTTCATATATACTCTAGCAGAGTAATAATACGGAGTAATAAACACATACACATGAAAGAAGTGGAAGGAAAACAAAAAGCACAGCACAAACCAAGCAAAATTAAAAGCAAGAGATATAAATGTGGGTGATCATCAAACAAACAACATGATCATGATTGATGTCAATTCACATTATGGGATGCCTATTTTTCCTTCTCCTTTTCCTCTTCTGTCTTTGGGTGGTGGCCATGGATCTTTTCCTTAATCTTATCGAAGAAGCCGGGTTTGTTGACCTCCGCATCGTGGTGGTGCGCCGCCGTTTCCGGGACTTCCTCCGCCTTATGGCCACCGCCGGTGAGCTTCTTTTTTATATTGCCAAAGAAGCCCTCCTTCTTCTCATCCTCCACCTCATGATCATCCACAATAATCTCCACGGGAATGGAGGTTTCAACTACTACTTCATCTTTCTTCTCTTCCTTTGGCTCACCATGCAACTTCTTCTTCAGTTTGTCCTTCAACCCTTTCTTCTCCTTCTTCTTCTTCTCCCCGTTTTCGTCGGTTTCTTCATCGCTCTGATGATGAACAGCTAAATCATTACAATTATATTCAACATTTCAACCCAAACTCTTTTCTTGAATTCCCTTTTTGTTCATCCAAAAATCAAAATATGGGTTTAAGTGTTTACTGGTTTAGATCAAAGAAGCTAATTAAGTGTAATATGTGGATTCTTCTTATATTTGGTCTCTAAGGTCATGCTAGATCCAAATTTGGAATACAATCCAATTTATTTGTATGATACGAATACGGAATACGTACCCCAAACAACTTTTAGATTTGAAAATGTACTTATTAAAACATCTTCATTATATACAAAAGATTTTAAAATTTTTAATATCCATCAGATCAGAAAGTAGAAGAAGCCTTGATGATCGATTGAGATCTCTGCCTTATGAGAGAGTACCTTACTAAGATAGAAGACATGGATTAAAATTCAGCCCTCAAAATTTGTGTAAAAAATGGACCCACTCATTTTATTTCATTGATTTTTTTGATATAATGGTTCAAAATGGTCGGGCGCCCTACCTAAGCCACGCAGAGGAACTGGATTATCCCTCGATGACAAAGACCAAAATTTTAATCCAACACCATTCATTCATTTGTTATCCATTAATAATAATCATAATGACATTTTTACATTTGTTTGAAATAAATCTTAATTTAGATGAAATGCAAAACTGACATTTACACCGTATATATTAGATGTAGTAGTAAACACCACTTATAACTTATACGGAGTAAGTGATTTCTTTATCAATTTCTCACTTCCAACCAATGATAACTTAACATATGCTTGTAATAAAGTTACACCGTACATGCATAATGCATTATATTACTCCGTATTATTTGTTAATTATTTATTTAAAATTTAAAATAGCTACCTTAGCTTAATTGTTCAGTTCACATTTCTAAACTAGTTACATAAATATGACCAAAATAAAGATGACTTACAAAAATATGATTAGTTACTAGAGTAGTAATGAAATCATAATAATTCATGTTCAAGTTTTGAACTTAAGTTAACAAACACTATGTTGTAGTAATGAATAGTCATATTTATGTAAATAAGTTTTATTTTAATAATATTCTTGTAAAAAAACTGGAGTATATGCATTCTAACTACTTTTCATAATAGACTCGAATCGTCTTATTTAATTACTCTGTATATTACTCTGTATTTAGTAATTGTATCAAAATTGTAAGGCGGAACAAAAGTATATACTACGTATGACTTACAGAGCTGCTAGAAGAGCTAGTGGACCGGTGGAGCTTCTTCACTTCCACATCATGCTCCGCCGCCGCATGTGGCGGTCCGGTGACACGAACCTTCTCCTCAAACTCGCCGGAAATAGCCTCCGATTCCGCTTGGTGAAGGTTCCCTCCCTTCCTTCGAATGAAGTCAAACGCCTCCCGGTTCTCGGCGGTCAACGACTCCTCACCCATGAAGCAATCATTCCCCCTCTCCATCGATATCGAGTCGGAAAATGAAATTTCAATTTCAATCAATCCAAACGAGGCTTAACGATCAGCTGCGCTGCCTGAAGTAGTGAAGAAGGAAACGTTGTATAGGGCTTTTTATAGCGACGGACGACGACGACGCGGAACTTACGCTCCTAAGATTGTGGGAAAAAGAAGATGCCAAGTGTGTAGCTGAAGTCTCCACGTGGCTGTTCATGATTGGATAGGAAAAGTGGTATTTTTTTATTTGTACTAATTTAGACTCCGATCCCTTTGCCGACATAGATTACCTGGCGTGCCGGCCACTTTGTCTATGCATATGTTTTGTACATTTTTATCTGCATGTCTCCTAGACCTTGTGATGTTGTTTTCCACTGATCAGATTTATCAGTTACATTAACTAAAGTCACTGTAAATGATCATTTTTTATGTTTTTCTCACAATTTTTTCTTTGTTATATTAATAAAATATATTTTAGATGTGGAGTATTTTTTTTTAATTAGCGAAACCAACCACTTCAGTTCGAACTTCATAAATTTCAACGGAATCAACCAAAATAGCTGATTTGCTTATTACCAAACGGGCTCATAATTTGTGTGTATATGCAGGGGCGGAGCCAAAGGGGGGTCAGAGTGGTCAGCCGACCCCGCTGAAAGTTTGAGATTATAGAGCTCTTAAATATCTTCGATTTGATATATTATGGACCTCGTGACTCATTACGAGTAAAAAGTTATTACTTCTGCAAAATCAGCACTATCTAAACTTAAAATCCGCAAAATTTGATGCATAATATAGATTATTTTCCCAAATTTTAAAAATAGGGTATAATTCACTCAATACACATGTTACACGACTCAGAAACAGAGCAAAGACAATCAATCTAATTGCTACGATTGCCTATTTATCCAAACTGCAAATGAAATATTTAACTCGGACATTGTTTAAAAACGATCCACCATTTTCATTCTGTATATAAGTTGAGTTTTGACCCTCCGGAGTCGTTTTTCTGGCTCCGCCACGGTGTATATGGACAATACATCTAAAAATCAGAGTTGTTTGTATCTATGTATACAGAGTAATTTATTTAAAAATGATATGCTAGTAATTGTTTATATATAGAGTTATAGACCATTCCAACGTGTAAATGAGCATGAACACCCGGCCAACAAGTGCAAACGTGTACTCCGTATCATTTATTTTATTCTTCAGAGACTCCTTTTTAGTTCGTCTATGAAAAACCTTCATTTTTATAGTTTGAGTACAATATTTGCTGCTCTCCATAACTTTAATCATACAATTTTCACTTTTGGGATTTCGTGGAGTGTCAAAAATAAGTTACGGATGGAGTTGGAAGGAGTATTTGTTTAACATTATTTTAATTTTCCTTTTTCATTTTACAAGTTAGATTTTTCTGTATGCTTATTTACAATGGTTATTAGCTTAATTATTTTTAGAATTGTTTTTGGCGATTTTTTTTGTGAGATAGGCACTTTAACATAAACGACAGATATACATTTATTCATCGATCCTTGCGCAAAAGTATGTGGTGAAAAAAACTTGATGTTATAAAAAAGTATAGCAAATAAGTCCTGAGATAAAACGGTGATATCAAATGGACTATATATATACTTTGTAACTATATACCATAAAACGGTGATAAAATGCTAGGATCATAGTGTATTTGTAACTTCAATACTTTCAGGAAAAAAAAAATCTAAAAATTAAACTAATTATTCATGAGTTTAAGAATATCAAAATAAATGTTTTTATTTCCAAAATAGAAATAATTACAGTCAAACCTATAAAATATTGTAATGTTTAAGTTTGGTATTGTCAAAACATGACAATAATTGGTAATAATTACTCTTATTTAGGGAATGAAAAATAGGGCAATCCTATTTTAAAATACACCAACATTTTTTAGTCTTATTTATGTACCCACCGGAACCCCACAAGCTTTATATATGGTTACATTCCTACTTCAAATTTATCTGAAAATCGATAATAGTTGTTGGTGTCAACAAAAGTTTCTAATATTGCTTGAAATTTTACAAAAGTGTGTAACTTTTATATTTCAAAGATAACCCTTTCAAAAATATAATATGTCCCTTCGGGGACATCCGATATATAAAATTGGAACGATACAGAGAAGATTAACATGATCCCTGCGCAAGGATGACACACACAAATCGAGAAATGGTCCAAAAATATAATACTTCATACTAGGTAGTAGCTAACTTTTTATTATTATATCTTAAGTGAATGAGTTTGTGAACTTTTTATTCAATACTCATGTTTCGACAGTAACAGACATTAAACATGACAATATTTTTTAAGCTAGGCAGTAATTACTCACATTTACAGAATAAAATCATTGTAGTTCCATTTGGGAATTCTCAAACGCCTTTTCTCAGAATGAAATTGAGAAGTTTCGGCTAGAACTTCCAAAAGAGCCAAGCGGAAATCTTTAGTTGGGACAAAGTTAGGGAGTATCATTTAATCTTATACTACGTATATAATCTTAATTATAAACATGAATAGAGGTATATAATAATGGGTATCTTAAAAATGTTGGTGTAACTTTGTTGCTATATGTGTAAGTACCATTAGATATAGGAGTCGTATAATTTTAATTATATGTGTATATTTGGACCATCTCCGTTAACTTGCACATTATTGATTGGTTAATAACTTGTGTCTAATACTACGTACAATTTAATAGTTTAAATCCTACTTGACTCTTGGGATCCACTTGGAGATGGTTTAAATTTTAAATGATTCGTGGATGGATTGTATTTTAATACTAGTAGATAAAACAAAGTAATGAATTGTTTTAAATTCATCCATAATAAATATATAATCTACAAAGAATTTCCCAAATCATCCATTTGCCCCCATAAATTCATTTTCATGTACTCTTTTTAATCTTGTGATTTAAATAAATAAGTCTTACTTTTAAATAGAAACACATTTAATCCTATTTTAGAATTTTGACTATATGTTCTAATCCTATTATGACCAATTCCTTTTTATTGGTTGTGAAAGCTTAAATTTCATTAAAATATATTATAATAGTAATTTATTCTAAAAATTTCAAAGGTAGGCCCCTTTAGAATGTTTTAATTGGACTGAATATTTGTAGTCTGATATGTTTTGGTCATGTCTTTTTAAATATGATCTAATCTGGTTTGATTTGATCTAGTATGATGCAGAATCAAAATAAATTCAAATAAAAACACCTTTAATGTCCAATCATACCTTTCTTTGTAACCAATCTATCGTTTTAGTTTAAATAGACAGCGTTTTAAGCTTTTAAAAAAGATTGGGGCCTACCGTGAGTCATGATAGCGTGGATGTACAATACTTCGCCAATGGATTCCATTGTTTTGATTTTGACCGGAACTTAACGAAGCAAGTGTACTTTATGGGTTCGGATTATAGTATTTTCTTAGAAAACTATAACATAAAAAGTTTAATTATATTTCCAAAAACTATATCAATAAAAAATTCACCTCGTACCCAATATATTTTTATTTTTTTTAGAAAACTAGAACATGAAAAAATTAAGTATTTATGCAAAAACCATCTCAATAAAAAATAACCTTGTACCGAAAATATTTTTAATAAAATTAGAATTTTGTGATAGGATCTAATTTATTTAATCAGGTTTGGAATGACCTAGTCTGATATGTTTAAGTTTAATAATTAGTATATTCCAGTAAAGTCTGTGTATGTGTATTTTATTATTGTTAATGTCTAGTCTAATTTGATCTATTATAAGCAATCCAAATAAAAAATCCATAATAATTTATAATAATATTTAATGATGATGATGATGATGATGATGATAATGATGATAATAATAATAATCGCTCACTTTAACATGATATGAACATTTAGTGTAACTTATTAGAATGACTATTGTGCTCTACATTTTTTGCATGTGCTGCTTAATTTATATGATAAATAAATTTTATATTTTACAAATCGTTGTACATTCAACTATATAATAATAATGCAATATAATTTCTTGATTGAATAACAAATCAAGATGGTGAATGGATATTGTTAAAAAAATAAGGAGTTTATGGATCATGAATCATATATACTTATTTAACATTTTTACTTAATCAGAGTAGTGTGTTCCAGTTGTAGAAGTAAACGACGTAAACACAAAAAGACCAACTTAAGCAGTCTAAACTCTAAAGTAGTCTAAAATGACTCAAAAGTTTGTATGTTCAGGGACGGGTCACTGCACTAGGTTAGACTGGGCACACACAACAATTATTTTTGAAAAAATTTGACACATGTACATGATTTTTTACACCGAAAACAAGACACTTTTTAAATTTGGGAAAAAGGGTCAAATAGGCCCTTCTACTATTACAAAACAATCATCTAAGCCCTTCTACTAAAAAAAGGGTCATTAGAATACATTTACTTCCAAAAATACATCAAACAAGCCCACTGACTTGCTAGTGACCTATAATAACAAGTCATCCATGTTTTCTTTTCTTTTTTCTTTGTTCTTCACCCATTTACGGTGGCAACTTTCCTCCACTTTTTTTTTTGCTTTTTCTTCAATTATTGTTTTTCCATTGTTCATTTTTTTCTTTTCTTCACCCCGTGCTTTCCCTTCTCACGTCGTCTCTCAATCTCATTTTATATTTTTTTCCCTTATTTTATTTTATCGTTTCTTCACCCAGAAGCTGTGAAGTGGATCATGAGGTATTTGAAAGGTACTGCTTCTAATATTTTGTGTTTTGATGGGAATAATGTAGAGCTGCTGGGACATGTTGATGCAGACCTGACATCGAATGACTCAGATGGATCAGGGAGCACCACCGGGTATGTTTTTACATTTGGTGGGACAGCAGTTTCCTGGCTTTCACATCTGCAGAAGATAGTTGCATTATCAACCACTGAATCTGAATATGTGGCAATTACGCAGGCAAGTAAGGAGATGGTGTGGCTTCAGAATCTACTTGGGGAACTTGGGAAGGAGTACAAGAATAACATTCTTTACACTGACAGTCAAAGTGCTATCTTCTTGGCCAATAACTCAGCTTTTCACAAGAGAACCAAACACATTCGGTTGGAGTGTCACTACATCTGTCATCTTTTGGAGATAGAGGCATTGCAGCTT